ACTCATAGCTATTTGGTGCAAAAGTCAGAATTAGGATTCAGGTATTTGGTTTCCAACCACATTTCTTCTCTAGCATTTTCTTTCAAAGTTAAATTAATGACCTTACTTAGTAGTTTTCTTGTAACACCTGTCTCTCTGTATGGTTGTTTCTTTTTTCAATTATACACACCAGCCTGGTGTGGTGGTGCATGCCAAATAATATATAAAAAAGGGCTGGGTATGTGGCTCAGTGGTTAAGTGTCCCTGTTCAATCCCCAGCACCAAAAATAAATAAATAAACCAAAAAACAATTAATCAACCAATCAATTAAAGGCACTTTCTTTTGACATACTGGGGATCAAACCTAGCACCTTACACATGCTGGGCAAGAACTCTACCATTGAGCTATACCCTCAGTCCTTTTTAAAATTTTATTTTGAGACAGGATCTCATTAAATTGAAGAGGTGGCCTCAAACTCTGGATCCTCCTGCCTGAGCCTCCTGGTTTGCTGGGATTACAGGCAAGCGTCACCAAGCCAGGTGCATGGTTTATTTTTTACAGTATCCCACACAGTTCCTATTACTCAATAAATATTTTTAAGTTATGAATCTGGGAATTTCTTTTATAGGATGGGTGTTATCTGAGGCAGGATGGTGAAACATTACATATAATTAGTTCAATTCTTCCCCTTTCATCCCTGTTTAATACTGGTCAGAAGGGTTGCATCCAACTTATGCTCTCATCACTGAGTCTTCAGTATAAAATGTGGGACTGTTTCCTTATCAGAATGATGAAGGTGTAGTTTTTTTTTTTTTTTAAATAAAGATATACTTGACAAATATAGTGTATATTTTTACAGTGTGTGCCAGGTGATGTTTTGATATACATTGTGAAATGGCTAAATCTAAATATATATATATATATATATATTTTTTTTTTTTTTTTTTTGCATACTGGGGATTGAACCCAGGGGTGCTCCGTTACAGAGCTGGGGCCTTCCAAGAAACTGAGGCAGCTCCAAGACTCCACTCTTCAAAGCCGATTCTTGCAATCAAGTCAGAAAGATTTAAGACACGTTGCTCAGAGTAACAAGAATGAGTTTATTGAAGGGCTAGGAAAAGGGAAAGGGGACACTCTGAGAGGAGAGGGACAACATGCTTCTCCTACACTCCAGTTTGAGAGGGATCCCAGAGAAGTTTCCAGAGTTCCACCCAGATCCACCTCTTGACTTTTGCCTGGCAGCAGGGTGACATCAGACTTTCAAGTCCCCACTGTAATGGCAACTCTAGGTCACCTTGGCCCATGCTGAATGGTTCTAATCTGATTTGTAACCACACATTCTTACAAATTTTACAGTTAAGAGGAACTGTACTTATCTCTCAGAGTTTCAGGATCTGGTCACAAAAGTCTCCTGGGTTCCTCCCACCAACTTTATCTCAAGCCTGCATTTCTCCTTCACTTAATAGGTAGTTTGCTGAGGAATGTGACATATCCTGTCCATTTAGGCCACATAAGGCTGCAGGTAAATTGCTTCTTGGAAAAGAAAGAATGTGGGGGTCAGTACAGTAGGCCCATTTTATAGAATTATTCTCTTTACTTCTTGTTCCCACCATCCTCATCTGTTCCCTAGTAGTTTTACCCCTGAGGTATATCCTTAGCCTTTTTTTTTTTTTTGTCTGAACCCAGGGTCGCCCAAATGCCAGGCAAATGTTTAACCATTGAACCTCATCACCAGCCCCAAACCCCAGTCCTTTAAAATTTTTATTTTGAAACAGGGTCTCCCTAAGTTGCTGAGGCTGGTCCCAAACTTGTGATCCTCCTCCCTCAGTCTTCAGAGTAACTGGGATCACAGGCCAGTGCTATCATGACTGTCTCTTGTAACCGGATTGAACTCAGGGACACTCAACTACTGAACCACATCCCCAGCCCTATTTTGTATTTTTTATTTAGAGACAAGGTCTCACTGAGTTTCTTAGTGCCTTGCTGTTGCTGTGGCTGGCTGTGAACTTGTGATCCTCCTGCCTTAGCCTCCTGAGCCAGTGGGATTACAGGCATGTGCCATGACACCAGTCTCAGATATATTTTTTAAAATATTTTTTTTAGTTGTAGACATACACAATACCTTTATTTATTTATTTGTATGTGGTGCTGAGGATTAAACCCAGTGCCTCACACCTGCTAGGCAAGCACTCTACCACTGAGCTACAGGCCCTAGAGTAAATTTCTTGGATGGTTATTTTTATGTGTTAATGCAGTTGGCTAATGGTGACTCACTCGGAGAATGGGTGTGTCTAGAAGAGGGTATTTCTGGAAGAGATCAGCATTTGAATTAACAGAGTGAGGAAACCTGCCCTTCTCAATGTGGGTGGCCATCCCCTGATCTGATCTACTGAAGGCCCAATGGAACAAAAGATGGAGAAAGATAATTTGTTCTCTTTGCTTGAGTTGGGATGTCCCTCTTATGGAGTCCTTGGGCATCGGTGCTCCTGGCTTTCCTGTTCAGAAGAATCCCACCTTTGGCTCCTCTGGTTCTGAGGGCTGGGCTTAAACTGGAACTACACTATCTGCTTTCCTGGGCCACCAGCCTGCTGAGGGCAGACCTGAGACCCCTTGGCCTCCATAATTTCAAGTGAATTCCTCATAATACATCTCTTCCTATGCATCTCTGTTTATTCTATTGGTTCTCTAGAGAACACTGACTAATGCAGTATTTCTTATGCTTCACTTTGTATCAACCAGAGTACTGAGCTCTTTACCAAGGTATGCTTTTATCACCCATGGAACTGGTGGCAATATTATGTTCATTTCACATGGAAACAGAGGCTGAGAAACTTTGCCCAAGATTTTGTAGCTAAGGAATGAGTGCTGGAGACAGTCAGAACCTAGTCTGTCCAGAGCTATCACTTATCACATAGCATTCTGCCCCAGACCTTAGGACACACATCAGTTTCCCAGATGGCTGAAATCCTCCCTCTTCTAAAAATTAAGGTAAATAATTTCATGTAGTCACGTCTAATAGACAATGATCTCCACCAAAAAAAAAAAAAAAAAAAAAAATTCAGCCCAAGGAAATTTCCTTTTGCAGACAGTATTTGTTCTAGCTCTGGGGCTGTATCTTTATGCTGCCTACTTTAGGTTGCAATATGTTTCCACACCCACCTTTTAAGTTTTTAAAATGGAATTTTAATTTTTTCCTTCAGTTTGTATGCTGAGCCACCTGTACACTTCCTCTACACTTTCCCAAAGTGGAGAAAAGGAGTGGGGGGAAGAGGTTATTCTAAGATTATGTTAATAGAGAGATTATTGGGATAATACATCTCAATGAGCACTTTATTGAACAAGCTTGCCTTCTAATTGGTTACAACTCCCATTGAAACACTATCCCAGAGAAGGAAGGTCTTGGTTCTTCATTTTTCCTTACATCCTCTGTTCAGGGATGAGAAACTATCAAATGAGGATTAAGTGGACCAATCCAAGAATATTAGACAGGGATTGTAATGATTAGGTAATTCCCCTCTTTTCAGAGAGACAACTGAGGTCCTCAGAGGATACACTGTGTGTGTTCCTATCTGAACTGTCTTATCCTAGACCCTAGAGTGGTCATCAGCTAAATGCAGTAACCTATGGGAATTTCTGGACAGGGTGTAAAGGTGAGGAAGAAGGCCTAGCGTTTAAGTGGTCAGATCTGGAGATTACTTGGCTTCCAATTCCCTGCTATTTAGCTCTTGGTCAAGTTAGTTAATTTTTCTGTAACTCAATTTCTTTGTTAGATCAAAAGTGTTTATGGGACTAAATGATTATCTTACCTTTAAAATATCTAAAGCAGTGTTTACAGCATTGAAGTGTGAGGTTAAACGCTAACTAAGTGTGTTATTTCTACACCCAAATTCAAATGCCTTAATTTTGAGCTTTCCTATAGTCTCCTATGGCACTTCTTTATCCTCTTTTGATAAAAGAGTATATCTAGTAGCTGATGCTGGCATTTTCAAGGAGCTCAAATGGTTTACTTTTATTAAGTTTTGGTCAAATAGAGCAAATATACTCGTATGACATACAAACGCCCTAGATTGATGGTGGACACGGTTCCAGAGTCTGGGGAGAACCCGCATGGGTGCAGAGATGCTCGGAAACCACCTTTCTTTCTGAGGGGGCGGGACCTTTAACGCGCAGCTGGCGACCGAGGACTTGGACTTTTAACACAGAAGAGGTGAGACCTGTTACCAGTCGCACGCGGGCCCGGGGCTGGGGGAACGCCCAGGTGGGGCTGCAGGTGGCCAAAGGGGTGGGTCACAGGCACTGTTCTCCAGTCCTGGCTTTTACACAACAGTCTGGGCACAAAGGGACTTCTTAGCTACGCCACTTTTTGGTTTGTCGCCCTCCTGCTCCTGGCTCCAGCTTTGTCCCCAACTTGCCCGTGGGTTGGCTGAGCTGCTTCGACACGTGCCCCCCTTTGTCTGGCCGCTACTCCGCGCCCTTTGTAGTCCACAGGCCTCATAGTGAAGGGTGGGGGCGTCGCCGACCCCCGGGACGGAGAGTTAAGGAGGCGAGGGGGGAAGGCGCCGCCACTCGCCCGCACAGTCGTCGCGCGACGCCCGGGGCCGCGCCTCGGCCCCTCGCCCGGGTCCTCGGCACGGGGAGGGGCGCGGCGCGGCCGGCGCCCTCTGATTGGCTGCGGGCGTCGGGGCGCCGCGACGCGATTGGGCCGCGGGGCTGTCTGGCGCGAGAGCGCGTGAGGTGGGGAGGGGGCGCTGGAAGCTGCTGGAAGTCGGGGGGCGGGGGATGCGGCGGGCGGCGGCGGGAGGGGCCGCGCCGGTGCGGGCGGGCGGGCGCGGGCGGCGGGCGCAGGGGAGGGGCGAGCCGGGCGCCGCCCCCGGCCCCTCCCCGGCCCTCCCCAAGCCGCTCTCCGACCGCGGGCGGCCCAGGGGCGGTCGCGCCGCTGCATCCCCATCCTCGTCGCCCGGCACAGCGCGAGCCGGCGAGCGGCAGCGGGCCGGAGCGGGCGCAGCGCCGAGCCCCGGCCATGGCCACCACCAGCACTACGGGCTCCACCCTGCTGCAGCCCCTAAGCAACGCCGTGCAGCTGCCCATCGACCAGGTACCCGGCGTGCCCGGGGCATCGCGCCCGGGCCGCCCCGATCCCCCGCCGGGCGGGAGGGGTGGGGGTGGGTGTCACGCCGCCCGCCGCCCGGCGGGGAGGGGGCGCCCAGCCTGGCATTGTCGCCTCGCCCGCGGGCGCCGGCCGCCTCCCTCGGGCCGCGGCGCGCCCACCCAGCCCCCCATCGCGGCCCCGGGCGGGGGTGGGCGCACGGCGTCGCGGGCGACAGCCACCCGGGAGGGCTTCCCGACCGACGTGCGCGCGGGCATGCCGTCCCTCCCCGGCCCCGCGGCCCCGTAGGCTGCGCTCGGGGCTTCGGCGGTCCGCGCCCGGGCTCGGCTCGCGCCCCAGCGTGGCTGAAGGGGACACCGGAGGCAACAGTTTGGGGGGGGGCAGAGGTTATGGAGAAAAGTCACAGCGAGTTCACTAGCCAGGCTCTGCAGCCGGGAAAGTTGCAACCTTGTAGAGCAGCCACCCCGGCCCCTCAGCGACCTGGAACAACAGCTGACACCGGCCGGGGCGACGGGCGTGTAATCGAGGCCATCGAGTCCGACTGTTGGAAGGGCCTCGGGATTCCCGAGAAGTGAACAGTATTGTGATGGGGAAAGCAGCGCCATTTTTATTCAGAAAGTTTGGAAGTATTTTGTCCTGAGGGTGCGATTTGGGCAGGCGTTGGTAGGGTCTGGTGAATTGTCTGGCCCAGGCGGAAGGTGGTGGCTTTGGGGATTCTGCCTGCCCTTCTTCCAAGTGTCTTGATCTGAAGGGTTTGCACTTCACTGGGGATACTGGCTCACTGTCCTCAGCCCCACTAGGGATCTGGTTTACAACACAGGACTCCTGCGGCCCAGACCCCACCTCAGCGAGGTGGAAAGGACTTCTCTGTGCTTTACTGTTTTAAATAAAAGTCTGAAGTATGCGGAAGGAGTATTAAAAAGAAATTCTGCCTTCTGTTTACGTCTAATTGCTTGCTTGTATTTCAGCGTACCTTCCGGTGAATTGTGAAGTACCTATCCCCCACGTACCTTGAATGGCACTTACGGTGTACGTCCCATGTAGAGTGCCACTAGTGAAATTGTGGGTTTTGCAGAGATAGTCTTCTCTGTTTATTAATAAGTTAATCAGGACTTAAGGTTTTGGGTCTTCTCATCCCTGTGGAGGACTCTGTTTTCCAAACTGGAGTGTGATGCTTGGTCTGTGAGAGTACTGCTGCTGACTTAACTAGGTTGCTGCCAGTGTTTGTGGGCCAGGGTCTGACGAAAAATTTTCTTGCTGATGAGAAGCAAGGGAGTTACAGGCTTGTCATACCTTTTCATTTCTTTTAGGAGATAGGTATATCTCGTCCCTCTCCCTTTCCCTCCCTGCAGTAGTCTTCTTGACTGTGGTGAAATGTTCTTTACTATGCTAATGCCTTTAGAGGTATATGGTGCTTATAACTTTTTAAATGATATAATATTAAAGAACTTATTTAAACATTGCACTAAAGCCAGAGAAAGTTCTTTTCTGTACTGAAATAAGCAGGAGAATCAAGGGAAGATGGCAGGGCTGAAAATTTCTTTTTGAGTGTGCTGCTTGACTAGTTAAAGGTCTTGATTTTGTGTCTTGAACAACTTTCATTTTAATGGAACTATTCTAAATTTGTGTAGTCATGTATAGCCCTGAGTTTGGGTGTCTATTTGTGTAGTATTTTGAGTTATTTTCTCTGCTCTAAGCAGGTCTTAAGGATATTGAGTTAATACCACACAACTTTTTATAGTGAGAATAAATTCTTTCTTTGAAGCATCAAATAATTGACCTTTTTATTGATGAAGCTCTTGCAATAACTGAAAATTCATGTTGTAAAATTAGATGAATAGTCCTTTAGCCATTATCTTAAATTAGGGGGAACCAAAATTTTTATAAAGTAAATAATTGAGAGAAAACCTCAGAATTGGTTGTGATCAAATAGTGTGACTCAACAGGAAGCAGTCAGGAAATGAAAAGTGTAATAGTATATAACTTGTCAGCATGTTAATTTTGTATGTGCTAATAGTGTTTTGAAAATTCAGGAAATCATTAAAGCACGTACTTCATGTCAGGAAGAAAGGGACTGTAGGGTAATAAGACAGTTAACTTTTTTACTAGAGTGGGGAATTGATGCGATGACAGCAGTCATTGGTGTTTGTGGAGCACAGGAATGCACCTTTCAGGACGAAGCAGCAGAGAAAGGAAAGAGTGCAGTGAGAGCCAGGCCAGGGAGGGAGAGGCAGCAAGAGATCTTGCTTTGGACTCCTGGATTGTTTAGTCTTCACTGAGAATTCCAGAGTGACCTTGAGGGAGCCCTAGTATTTTTCAGTAGGCCTTAAATTTAAATAAAAATATAAAATCTAGTATCAGATTGAGGTTTTGTGGTTCTTAAAGATAGCCAGGCAACTTTGTAGAATAATACTTTGTAGGTGGATATGATTGAGGGAATATTTTGAGAGTGGGTTTTGAGGATGGATTTGGACTGAGGGAGAGCTGTGCCAGAGAAAAAGAGCAGATGTGCCACCTAGCAGATATCAGATACCTCTGGATGGAATTGTGTCCTTAGTATGTTGCTGATCCACAGTGCCTTTTTAAGACACCAAAGTGAATAGTAAAATCAAAAGTCCAAGTCAACATATTTTTTAGAGTGTTCTCTTTCAACGTATTGTGTCCTCTGTTGTGGTTTGCCTAGTACTCTGAGTTACCAGATGAGGTTGCTACTGGCCTTTCCCCTCTTCATCCTTCCCTAGCCTGCCTGCCTGCCTGCCTTCCACCTAGCCATCCATTCATCCACTTTTCTTTCCTTATTTCCCATGATGCTGTAATTACCACTATAGATGGAGTGAATTTCCCTAGTGATGTGATGTCCAGGATGGTGTGCTTGGCATAAGGCCAGTTAAGGATGAGTCATTGGCCGTAGAGTCCTGTTTTTGGGACAGGTGTTACTGTTTTAGAGTTAATGTGCTGAACTCTTGGGGCAGGGAGAGGGGCACGAGAGGCACTCAAGATACTTTGAAAGGTTTGGAGGAGAGAGAAGATGGATGAGGGCAGAAGAAAGAACCCAGTTAGGAATCCTGCACATTTAGTAATTATAATGCCTAACACTTGACAGTTTTCAGAGCTTTTTCACTACATTACATCCTCACACCACCTTGGGAAGTAAGAGTCAAAGCCCAAAATATTTAGCTTCAGGTATGTCTGCGTGACATGCTATTGAGCCCTTGTATAAAAGGTCAGTTTCAGTACAGTTTTAATATATGGCAGATACTTTTGTCATACCTTCATTTTAGATCTGGGCCACCAGGTATCTTTTGGAGGGGAAGATGAGAGCATGAACTTTTCACACCCCCACCCCCATACTCATGCACTGGCCCTTATGATTTGGATAGGGAATGTGTATGTAAGAGAAAGCAGTGTGGAAGCCTATGAAATCCTTTTTCCTTTGTGGTCAGTTTGCTGATTGCCCTTTCCTGTAAGCCCCCACCCTCCCTCCCTGTGCCGCAATGACAATGAAATGAAGCGGCGGATCAGGGAAGAGTAGTTTAAAACTTCAGCTTTTTAAATTCCCCTAATTCCCTTACAGGTCTGAACTGTGATGAATCCCGTTTTATAGACGAAGAAATAAGTAAAATTCTCAGTGTAGATTCTTATGGCTTTTAGGAGGAAAGGGACATGCCATGAAGCAGGCAAACCAAGGATTTGTTTTCTTTGAAGGTTGCCAGTTGACTGCTCTAAGTTTGGTTCTAGGTTTCAGTTGTAATATTTAACTAACTCATCTTCCTCTCCTGCTTTTACCATTGTAATGAGAATCAGTTTCCATCACAGAAATCCTGAGATGCTGACAGTCTGTTGTGGAAGATTCCTTTCAGTCAGAAAGGCATATGGGATTGAGAATCGCCTTGTCAGTTAACAATTTTAGAAACACCACTCTACATAAATGTTTCTTCCTGTATAAGACATGTATTGGGCTTATTTTAAAAATTAACTGATAAAGATGCCCCATGTTAGAGGGAATATAAACAAATGGGAGGAGAGTGGACTAATGCTCTTGAAGTAGTTTTCAGCAATAAAGAGCTGAAACTGACTCTGTAACCAAAGCAGTCCAACTCAGTCCACCTGCTAGGCAGTGGTGCTGCTGTATCTGTCCCTGCATTCCTCTTCCTCATCAACAGGAAGCACTGGTGTGGTGGTGTGGTGGAGAGGTGGGTTTGGAGCCACACTCTGCAAACCTTGTGCCATTAAGCAGATGATTGTTTTTTTTTAAGCCCCAGTTTCCTCACCTGAAAATAAGGATAATAATAAGTATTAGATACTTGCAGGTTTTTGTGAAGGTTAAAACAAAAATCTATGTGAAATGCTTGGCTCCTAGTAGATGTTGCACAGTTCCTCCTCCTTTACAAATTATAAAATATTTAGAATTTACTTTATATTTTTATTTTGAGAAATTAATACTTGTTCGTATATTGCATTTTTAATCCTTAGGACCTCATTTTTAGTAAGGGAAGTATAAGATTCAGGTTCAGTTACATGCCCACACAGTGATTAAAGTAGGTTTAAAATTTAGTTTTGAATTTGGTGATAAAAACAGTTTTCTGCTTCCTTACTGCTTAGCAAATTCTTTGTTTCCAGCTTGAAACTGCTGTGTTAGATGTTATTGCCCCTTGTGAGTACAAAAAGCCCTGGTCTCTGTTTATTGGGTCTGTTCAGCCTGACTTTCCAGGGAAATCCTCAAAACAGCTTGCACGTATCTTTGGTCTGCAGTCAGGTTTATAGGTGGGCTTCTACCAGGATACAATGTGAGATTTCTTTAAAATAAAATGAGCCATAAATATGACTCTCAGCAGAGCGGTCAGTTAATGACTTCATGACTAACATGGGTGCAGATGGAAGTCCTGCTTTAGTCAGGAAGTAGGGTGTAGAACAGGAGGAGAGGCAGCTGATGTATGGAAGGATAGAATCAGGACTGAGGAGGCCCCTCTCCCAGGAGCTAGTGACGG